CAGAAATCCCTGCACTGCCATGCCCAGCCAACCATCCATCTGCTCTGTCAGTGTAGTTTTCATTTTATACAATTTTATACAGATGGAAACATACGGTATGCCCTCTTTTTTGTCTGGCTCTGTTCATTCAGCATAGTTATTTCAAGATTCATTCATGTTGAATGCATACGCATATATATATATGATTATATTATATATACTATGTATATATAATATTATATTAGTATGGATACTTCATTCCATTTTATTATTCGTAAGTATTTCTTTCTATAGATATACCATAATTTGTTTATCCATTCTCTTGGAGATATATTTTTGGATTACATTCTGCTCACTGAGTCTGCAGGTTCTGCATCCTCAGATTCAAGCAACCACAAATAGGAAATGTTTGTAGGCCTTTAATGGTTGCATCTGTACTAAACATGTACAGGCTTTTTTCTTGTTATTATTCCCTAGATGATACAGCACAACAACTTTTTATATAGCATTTCCATTGTATTAGGTATTGTAAGTCATCTAGAGATGATTTAAAGTACACAGGAGGATACGCATAGATTGTATGCAAATACTATTCCATTTTATATAGGGGATTTTATATAGAGGACTTAATATTTTTGGCATCCGTGGATTTTGGTATTCTTAGGGGGTGCTGGAATCAATCTCCTGACATTACCAAGGGATAATTGTATTTCCATTTGGGGGTTACTATCAATAAAGCTTCCATGAACACTGGTGGGCAAGTCTTTGTATTAGATATAAGCTTTCATTTCTTTGGGGTAAAATCCTTGAAATGGAATGCTTGGGTTATTAACCAGCATATGTTTAATTTTTTAAAAACAGCTAAATATTTCCAAAGAGGCTATACCATTTACATACCAGCAGCATAAGAGAGTTCTGGTTTCTCCAAATCCTTGCCAGTGCTTGCTATGGTTGGTCTTTTCCATTTTAGACATTCTAATAGGTATATAGTGGTATCTCATGGTGGTTTCAATTTGTGTTTTCTTAACAGCTAATGGTGTTGGGCATCTTTTCATGTGCTTTTGGATCATTTGTATATCTTTATGAAGTGTCTGTTCAAATATTTTGCTAATTTTTAAAACTGGATCATTTGCTTATTATTGAGTGTTATAGTTTGGATTTTGAATGTCTTCCAAAGGTCTGTGTTTGAAAGACTTGGTTTCCAGGGTGGTGCTATCGGGAGACAGTGGAATCTTTAGAATATGGGACACAGTGAGAGGTCCTTAGGTCATTGGCTGTGTGCCCAAGAAGGGCATTCGGGGACTCTAGTCCTTTCAACCTTTACTTCCTATGGTTTTGCAAGTGGTTTTGCTCTGACATATGCCCCCACTAACAAAACCACACCAGTGGGGGCCTCATGGACTGGAACCTCCAAAACTGTGAGCTAATGTAAACCTTTTCTCTTTATAAGTCAATTACTTCAAGTATTTTGCTACAGTAATGGAAGACATAACATATTGAGTTTTGTGAGGTTTTTTTTATGTATTTTAGATCTGAATATTTTTTTGGATTTATGTTTTTCAAACAGTTTCTTTTATTCTGTAAATTGTCTTTTCATTTTCTTACTGTCTTTTGAATAGTGGACATTTTAAATTTTAACAAATTCCAGTTTATCCATTTTTTTCTTTTATTTCTATGTTTTAGTGCTGTATGTAAAAGGTCTTTACATAACCCAAGATCATAAAGATGTTATGTATTTTTCTAAAGGTTTTGTGGGTTTGGTTTTACTTTTATGTTTATGACCCATCTGGTTTTTATTTTTTAAAATATGATGTGAGATACATATTCGTTTTTTATTTATTTTTTTCTGCAAATGAATATTCAATTTTTCTAGTAAATTATTCCAATAAATATTCATTTATTGAAAAGACTATCCTTTCTCCACTAGATTTCCTTTGCACCTTTGTTGAAAATCAATTGACTGAGATATATATTATTCTAATTCCATATTCTCTGTTCTGTTCTATTGAACTATTTGTTTATTTTTATGCCAATATTATACTGTCTGATTTCTATGGCTTTATAATATAGAAAAAAATCAGTTGCAGGGACTGAAGACTAATACAACCACTCTGGAAAGCAGTATAGAGAATCCTCAAAAAACTAGGGATGAAACCATCCATATGTACCAGCTAGCCCACTCCTTGGTTTTTTTCCAAAGGATCTAAAGCTGACATACTACAGCCATACAGCCACCTCAGAATTTATAGCAGCACAATTTTCTTTCTCTTTCAAATATCTAAATTATGGAATCAACCCAGGTGGCCCTTCAGTAGATGAATGGATTAAGAAATTGTGATACATACGTATGTATGTGTATATGTGTATGTGTATGTATATGTATGTATACATACATACACACACACACATACACACACATACACACACACACACGATGCAGTTCAACTCAGCCATAAAAAGAATAAAATTATGGTATTTGCCAGTAAATGAATGGAAATGGAGAATATCATGCTAAATAAGCCAAACTCAGAAACTCCAGGGTCAAATGTTTTCTCTCATATGCAGAAGCTACAGTAAAGGAAATAAAGGAAAGGCAAAGAAAAGGATAGCATAAAGGTAAAGGAAAGGTCAGTGATGTGGAAGGAGATGGCAAGGCAGAATGGAGGGATTGGAAGGGGAGGCAATGAAGGATGAGTTCTTTAGAAATCATGTTATGTGCATTATAAATATACCACAGGGACTTTCGCCTTCATGCATAGGTAGAAAGAACCAATCAATTATAAATTAATAGAGGAGTGGAAGGAAATTAGAGGAAGGAGAAGGGGAGAGGGGAGGGAGAACCAGAGGGAAAGCAGGAGGGTCATGAACTGATATCAAATCCCATACATGTGTGAGTTTGTTGGATGATCCCGACTACCATGTATAACTATAAAGCTCTAATCAAAGTCAATAAGTAAAACCAGGGAGGCTGAGCTTTACTGTTCTTCTTCAGAGTTGTTTTAATTATTCTTGACACTTTTCACACAAATTGTAGAATCACCTTTGTAGTTTCTAACCCCCACACCCCCACCCCCTGATTAAAAAAGAAAGAAAAGCAAAGAAAAAGAATAAAATGTTCTGAGATTTTACTCAGGACCACGTTGACTATATAGATAAGGTTTGTCTCATTTTTTACCATCCCTCTAGAGTCACAGGCTGTTTCCTAACGTCTGTATTTTGATAGCCATTGTTTCATTTTTTAAAGTGTGCTTTGATCTTGGTTTTGGAGTCTTTGTTGGTACTGGTGGTGGTGCTGGGAATTGAACCCAGGGCCTTGCATATGCTAAGCATCCTCTCTACCACTAAGCCACATCCCCTCTCTCCAAACGTATTTCACTTTTTTTTTCTTCTCATGTTTTGTTTTCTTTTTTTCAGTCAGGGATTTAAATGCAGTAACTGTTCTCCACCTTGACTAGAAATAGCAGGCTAAACAAACTAAGGATTTTTAATTCCGAATCCCATGTTGTTTCTATAAGAAACATGAAAGAGAATAGAAATAATGTTACCTTTTTAAAAAAAATATCTTACAAAAAATAAGTTTTACTTCTGTTACTACTTTCCATAAATGCTTAAAATGCTGTCCCCCAACTCCTGATACAATTGGATTACCACAATTCAACTTTAAAATTCTCAAGTTTTTGTTCTCATAGATCAAATCTCTTACTTTTGTTCAACTCTTTATCATGGAAAACCACACGCACACACACACACACACACACACACAAAAAAAAAAAAAACTGATCTCATGTCAAAATTATTTATTTAGGGGAGACGGATAGAGAGCTGTTTCTTCTGTAATTCTGATAGTTGTTAAATGATTTCCTAGGACAGATGACATAGCCATTTGGCAGGAAAAGCACTAGTTCTTCTGATAAATCCCACCTTGTGCCCAAACAGAAGGGAACTGTGGGATATTGGTGGTTGTAGGCAAGCACTCAGCTTCTGAGCTACATCACCAGCAGGAATATTGGTGGTTCTAAGCAGAAACCCTAAATAATCAACTATATATACTTAACTTGACTTCATTAACTTTTTGGAAACAAACCTGTTGGGAAAGCTAACCTAATGTCATCCATTGAATAAGAAAAATAGAAGTTAGATAATTAAAGTGAATATGGATGATTTGAATAAAACAAAGTAAAAAAAAATGCTTTATTACTCTTGCTGACTTCAAAGCAACCCCTTAATGAAGATTTTTTTTTTCTACCAGCAAAACTAATTTGACAAGTTCACACAACCAGCACATCTCAATTTACACTTTCAGTAAGTGGCTTTTTTCTAATACAGAGAATGGATGTGTAATATCGCAGAATGAAACGGGACCTAAGGCAAAAGGAGACACCTCACAGTGGTGGTGGGATGGTTATTCCTATCTAGTTTGGACCAGAATAGTGAACAGTAACATTTTCAATTTTTTTTAAACTAGATTTAGTCTTTCTCTTTTCTTCATTGATAGCTTGCCTTAGAAATGTTATTGGAGGTATCAGGTTAGTTCTAGAATTTATTCCTCCTTGGATATGTTGATAGAAGTAGGAATTTGAATACCGGTAACATTTCCAATTGCCAGTTCCCATGAAGAGGGAGCAACATAAGACGGTAACTTCTCAGAAAATTAATTTCAGTTTCAACCTTGTAGCAAATGATCACTAGAACATATAGTACTGACCCAGCTGCTCGGCTTTCTTAGAAATGACTTAATTACACAGTGGGAACAGCTGCTGGAATCAACCAAAGACACAGGGGGAAAAAAATCCAAAACAGGAGAAACAAGGCAGGATTAATTTGTGGTCTAACTCATTAAGCCCTCCTGCTGTCATCTTTTGCCAAACCACTGAGCCTTCATGTTTGAGAAAATGTTCTCAGACCTCCAGCCACTCTTATTAGTTCTCATCATTTTGCAGAAACCATAACAGCCCCCAGGAGTCATTAAAAGCACCCAGAGCATGTAATTTATTCAAACTGGGTGAACACTGCCCAAAGAGACAAGGTGGCGGCCAGTTCATAGGGGTTTTGCCTGCCCTTCACGATGGTGGTGGTAAATCTCCCCAGCGGAAGTGGCTACCAACTGCCCAGAGAATCTCTCACATGCCTTCCATTTGTCCTTCCTCCTTCCTCCATCTTCTTTCTTCTCTCCTCTTTCTATGTTTCTCTCTGTCCTTGTTACCTCTGGCTGCCGGTCTGAGGTTGAAGGTGGGCTGTGGGGGACACATGCATACAGCTGCTGTCCGTGTACTTATTTGACAGCTTTTGTCATTATCCCACCTAAGCTTTAGGATACCTCAGCATCTCAGAGGAGGTATTTCTCCCCATTATACAGACACAGGATGGAGGCTTAAGGAGGTTATGTAACTGACCTAAGGTCATTGTACTGGTTGTTAAACAATGTTCTTTCTCTTTCAAAACTGCCCTATTACGCATTGTTTTGTGATGCTGAAGCTGGAACTCTGCAAATCGCATTTCTGCCTTGGCAGCTGGCTCTTTGTTAACAGGCTTGCAAGAGACTCTGAGGGCAGATGAGGGAGAAGGGACCGGTTTCTTCCTATTTCCTTACTGTTCTGTCAGCATCATCCCCATAATTGGGTTTGTCACCCCAGCAGCAGTAATTTTCCACACACCCAGAACCAGCACCTCACAAATACCCACACCTGTCAACCATCTCCCCTTTCCTAGAGATCTGTATCCCAGCCAAAAAGGGCCCCTGCTTCAGACTTCTGGGTTCTAATACCTCATCCCCACCCCACCCCCTGGTAGTCTTGGGGGCTAGGAGCTGCTTCCTGAAGTTACTATCTCTCTGGTGACCCAGTGTTTTCTTTTTAATTCCATTGAACCAATTCCTTCCTGTCAATTCTTTTCTGTGCAAATTACTGGTTTGGTTTCCATGTTTCTGACTAATACACACAGAAGTAATAGGATTAAAACACAACTGTGTCTGACTCCAAAGCCAGGCCTGTAACTCCCATTCTGTGCTACTTCTCACCCCCATCTCCATTTGCAACACTTCGAGTTGAGTATAATTGGGAACTCAAGTCATGTTCTTGTGGTGCATTCCTTGGGGAAAGTTCTAGACATTCTTACTGATGATTGAGGATTTCATTCACTGTCAAATGATTTAGAAAACCCCTGGAAATGGCATAAATGACTATAGAAGCCTTTGCTAAGTAAGACAGAGCTCTGATTAATGTATTACTAAAAACATCACGGAACTGACACATTTACAAGTCATCAAAGTAATGGGAACTCATCAACCATCTATAATTCTCCTGGAAATCTCATTTTCCTAAAAGCAGAACATATATTTTTGACTTTGTCTTGCTGATAACTTCATTTTGCAGAAGGAAGAGGAAGAAACAAAAGGAACTCTCCTAGATTAATTCTTACCCAACCAGGAAGGACTGGTTATTGAAGCAGAAGTGTGTAGTCAAATCATCTTTCACATGGGGGATAAAACCCCCAAGAAAAACCAATCTCAAAAGCCTCTAACATGGGCCCTAAGTAGGTACATAGTTCTCAGGAGGCCAGAGGAAATTGCTGTCTAATCTGGTAAGCAAATAATCTGAAAGAAAAGATGGTGTAAGAGATGAGAAGATCTCATAAATGAAATTCTAAGGATACAAAGATATGGATCTTGATAAGGAGTGAAAATGACTAGCCTTCAAGAATACCAGTGTGACTGCACAGAGAGCAATTTAATGAATTTAATTAATCAAAATGGAAAAGGCAAAAAAAGGAAGACCATACAGCAGATGACCTATGAATGTCTCTTTGTTCCAGGCACCCTTGGGGGTGAACAATCTCCGTTGCTGCCTCAATAATGTAGTTATTTATTTACTCAATAAATGTAGTTTGACAGGTAGTATTAAATACAAAAACACTGAATATGTGTGTTGAGCCAATTGAAATTGGCAATATTCTATCATTTCCTACCTGTAAAAATGTCGATTTCATATGGTACAACCAGGTAAGTGGTTGGGAGGGTGAGATTTTTCCAGAAGTTGTACGAAAGGGTCCCTCACAGAAGGCAGCAGAGGAACAGAGTCCTGGATGTAGTGGGAGAATGAGCCATGAGAAAACTAAGAAGAATATTCCAGACTTAGGGGAAGCAAGTTTCAAGAATTTGAAGCTGAGATTGTGGGTGTGAGGAACATCACTAAGTCCAGCTAGACACAGTAGAAGGGTAGGTACAATGAACAATAACAGGTGACATGAGGGTGGCAGCCAGAGACAGATCACATGGGGCCTTACAAAACTTGCAGGGCATGACAAAGACTTTGAATTATATCCTGGGAATAAAATGAAACATACTTAGAGGTGCGAGAAGAGGGGGAGATGTGATCTGATGAGTATTTTTGGAAGGTTCATTTTGGGAATTTTGGAGACCAGACTAGAGAGCCAAGTATGGACGCAGGGTGACAAGAGGCCTTACAGGAATCCAGGAAAGAGCCAATAGTGGCCCAGGAAAGTTTTGAGCAGTGAAGGAGTTGGGAAATGGTAGGCTTTAGGATATATTTTGAAGCTCAAAGTGACAGGAATTACAAATTGAATTAGATAAAAACAATGGAGAATAATGAGTCGAAGATGAAAAGAATTTGGGCATGAGTTACTGGAGAAATGGTGGAGCCATTTATTGAGCTAGAAAAGAAGGGAAAATGTGAAGATTCACTTTGCATAGAAAAACGTGAGGAGTTTGATGTTAGATGTGTTCAACTTAACTTTCTTCTCTGGCATACCAGAGATACCATGTCAGCAATTGGATGAACAAATTCAGAGTTCAGGAAGAAGACAGAGAAGAGATGTACATTTGGGTGTTGTTAGCAGACATCTTGACTTAGTGCATGGGACTGATAGAGATCATCTCAGGAATGAATGCAGATCAGAGTTCTAGAGCACCCCGACATTTAGAGTCTGTGGGGAAGGGAACACGGTACAGGAGCTCAGGAGGAGCTGGCAGTGAGGACAAAGGAAAAGTGAAACAATTATGACCCCATGCCACAGACATGGGGAAATAGAGAAGGATCGCAAGAGACTCCTCCAGCAGAAGCAGTTCAGAAGAATAGGGGGCTCTACTCCAGAGAGCCACTTCCTCCAGTGACAGTGAACTGCTGCACTCCCCCCAACCCCCGCACTTACTTCCTCTTCCCCACCCTGAGTGACAAAAGTCAGGCCTATAAACCAAACAGAAGCAACTCTGTAGGCCCAGGTATTTGAGGTATGAAAAAAAACTCTTCCCTTTCAACCGGCCATAATAATTATAATCAACAAATCTTAATAAAAAATGCTCATCACCTCTGAATGTCCCTCAGGAAGTGATTTCCTTCCCAGGGTGTGTAAAGTTCTGCGATAAGGAAAGCAGAGGTCAAATTCCTGGACAAGTGTTGGCAAATACTAGAGGATCATGGGCTGAGTTAATTAGAAGACTGAAGGAGGGAGTAACAGGAGAATCCATCTAGATGATCAAAGATGGGATCAATTACAAATAAAGGACCCTTCTGCCTTCTGAGCAGTTCTGTTTGGGGACTACCTCTGGAGTACAGTGACAAACTCCCAGAAAAGGCTTCAAGAAGAGACCAGGTTTCTGTTGCTCTGACATTGGGATATAACACCAGGATTTGCTGGGCGATGCTTATATATGCTTCCAGTTAGATGCTTCCCAGCTGTGTGTGGGAAGATAACTGCCCACATCCCCACCTCCCACAAATGCTCAAAAGAATAGGAGACTCACAGAGAAGAGGGGCCAGTAAGGAACGTGCCAATTAAGACTGCCTCCTGATTCAGGGTATTTCATTTTCATTCTACACATCTCTGTAAATGGATGGATGGGAAGATAGACAGATGGACGGATGAACAGACAAATGCAAGTCTTGAGGTCCTGAGATTTGTATAAACATTATTCAGAGTTGGTGGGTTTAACAGTATCCACCTGGTGCATTGCCAGTGGGAATGCAAAATGGTACATTCATTGAGGAAAACAGTATGGCAGGTCCTCAAGAAATTAGCTATAGAGTTACCACAAGATTCAGCTCTAGCATTTCTAGGTGTAGTAAAAGCAGAACCTCAAGCAGATATTTGTATACCCGAGTTTACAGCAGCACTGTTCACCATAGCAAAAATACAGAAATAATCCACATGCTTATCAGCCAATGAATGGATAAATAAAATACAGTGTACACAGAGAACAAAATATTGTTTAGCCTTAAAAAGAAAAGAAATTCTGATACATGCTACAACATGGATGAATCATTTAGACATCATGCTAAAAGAATTGAGCTATAAACAAAAGGATAAATACTGTAGGATTCCATTTAATATGTGGCACTTAGAGTAGATAAATTTATAGAGATAGAAAGTAGAATGTTGGTTGCCAGTAGTGGAGGGGAGGGAGAATGGGAAGGTATTATTATTGGATAGGAAGATGAAGCTCTGGAGATAGATGGTAATGATAGTTGTACAACAAAATGAATGTATTTCACATTAAAGTGTTCACTTAAAAATGGATAAAATGGTTTAAAAAAAGTTGATCAAAGACAAAGTTAATCTATTAGTCCGTTCTCCATTGTTATCATAAAATGTCTGAGGCTGGATAACTTGTAAAGACGTTTGTTTATCTTATAAT